AATTTTATCTGTGGTTTTATTTATTCTTTATTTGTCTTATTGTTTGCTCGTCTGTAAAGTGTCCTTGGGTGTTGTGAAAGGCGCTTCAAATAAAATGTATTATTATTATGATTATTATATTGTCTTAAAAGCTCGAACAGGAGCAGCCTGAGCTCTCCGGGTCCGACAAGTCTACCATTCTCGACCTACCCCATTGTATATGAGGTATCTGCGAGGTATCACTCTGAAACAGGTTTTAAAGTTACACAGAGAGTAAATATGGGATAACGGAATTACATTTATTCCAACAACGATAAACGTTTTTTTAACATTGAAAAATAACGCAGTACTATAACACATTGAATAGGAATCAAATCAACATCAATCCAATATTTGGTGCATTCGCTTTAATGGCAAGTAAAATATAGTCAATTCGAACTTTAACTTGCTCAGGGTCGGATTTTTCAGTGTGACAGCCAGTTCTTTTTCTCCCGGTCGTTTGCGCTCTCCCGCTGTATTGTACCAATCCTTTTTCCCCATCTTGAGTCTTTGTATAATTCCAACATCATTCAAATGACTTTTCTGCTGGATGTGTCGCATGAGGTAGTCCAACTTCCATTTAATCCGTATTTTTCCATCGGAAAACTTGTTTACAGCGTAAGCTTTGCTGCATGTTTTGCAGAGCAGACCTTTCTCACTCGAAAAAGAAAATATCTCACCCAGTTTCACTGCTTCTATTTGCACATACTATGACAGCCATTCCAACTTAATAGAACCGCAGTTCATTCTTATTTTGATTTGAGGAGTCGACGTATCACGTTCACTGCCTGGTTGTTTCGCCATGATAAAGGACTAGCGTTAGCGTCACCTATCGCCTCCTCACTGTTATTGTTATGGAGCAGAGAACACGCGCAAGAACTGACAATGATTGGCTGCAGAGCGTCATTGCATCGTATAGTGTGATTGGGTGGACACATGTCACTCACTGAATTACACAGCAAATTGATAAAAAAAAAGTTATACAGTATATCTAATTCATTTGCAGTGTGTTCACTGTGCTGGATAAGTTTTCTTGTGCGCTGAGAGTGTGCGGCCAGAGCGCAGTTGCGCAGCTTAGAGGGAACATTAGTGCCGTTGCATCTCTGGGAAACGTAAATCTAAATGAAATATACCTTTCATTGTCTTGCCTCGCGTCGGAAACTTCGCTTGTCTCGAAGCATCAGGTGATTCGCTAGCTGCTGCTGCTCCCTCCCGGTATGGAAGAGTATTACATGATTGCTCTTCCAGGCAACTGACTGCACAGGCATACATATTGTATAATTTCCTACGGCACACCTGTCGTAGAAAGGGTTCCGTCAGTCGTCATCTGTACCTGTGGGTAAAAAACAAAAAACAAAAATGGACGTTTCGCTTCTCTCACAGAAGCTTCGTCAGCGGTAGACAACTCTGAAGTCTCCGTGAAGACTCCGGGAAATTGCTCTGCGCTAAAATGCTGAGCGTGGCCTATTTGAGGACTGGGTGGGGATGGTTAGTCACACCCCTATGGTGACCATTGATTTCTAAATTCCCTATCGTTGGGTGTTGATTAGGCCTATTGTTTGGGCTAGGGCTGAATAGCTACTTTCAGTTAGCCTGATCAGCATGTCTATGTCCCTTACTGGTCAACAAGTTATTGTAAATAGGAGACAGGTTAAATCTGATACCTCCTTCACGGTTCAGAGAGGGTGAAAATTTTTGAACAAAAATCGCTTCCTTTACTCCCCTTTCAAACCATCTCTTTTCTGTTCCTAGGATTTTTACTTGCTCATCTTCAATTGTGTGGTTTGTTTCTTTTAAGTGTGCGTATACTGCACTTTTGTTATCATTGTTTTTCCATTTGTGTTGATAAAGTCTTTTCTTGAGTGTTTGTTTGGTTTCTCCAATGTAATGTTCCTTGCACTCACTTTCTTGGCAACGGATGGAAT